TAACCGCATTTAGGCCTGTATTGGCACTAATCACGCGCGTCATTTCATGTCTTTCATCGGTTCATGGCACATATTCCAGTAGCCAAAAGTAAGGGCTTTAAAAGCAACACTTTAAAAAAAAACTTGATAGGTAGAACGTCGAGTGTATTTTGATATATTATTTGTGGTTTCTCCCTACAGAGAACATTCACGAGGTAGATGTTGTTGCAGTCATTGATCTTGACGCTAAGAGACGAAAAGGTAAAATGGGACGAATCCTGTAAAAGCATCCGGGCCCTGATGGGCCCGTGCGCGTGGTCGGTGTGCGAGTCAAGGACAAGGTTATAAAGCGACCAATTATTAGAATCTTTCCGCTCGAGATTTAAGACACTGAAGGACATATTTAAAAAAAAAAGGAACAGTTTTGATTGATCAATTTCTACTTCAAGTTTTTTTTAAGGAGAGTTGCATGTGAAGTTCGAATTACGGCCCTCCCCCCCCCAAAAAAAAAATAAGAAAAAAAAAACCGCATTCTTGAGTATTGGGCTACATCACGCCACGTTTTGTTTGTTTTCGTTTATTAGAATCACCTGCGTACATACTACCAGAACTGTGGACTCGCGATTGTATGTGAAGCGTTGTTGAAGATCATCATTTGGGGGCGAAAGATTTGTTTCCGGTGATCTGTCCTTTTTTAATTACAGTCCTTTAAGACATTGACTTGGAAATCGTTGATATTTGGAACAAGCTATTTTTAAACTGTTAGTGAATGACATGGGAAATTAGTTCACTGGAGTCAGTGACTCCTTTCTGAAAAGTAAATGTACGAATGCTCAGCATGAACACGCACAACGACCTATGTGAAAAAGATAAATTACAACCGTTTCCGTTTGGGTTAAAACTGAAGTTTTCAGCACGTAAAATGCTCTTTATGATCATAGTTAGTAGAGGAGACTACTAACTATGTTATGATTTTAGAAAAATTACTCTTTGTCAATATGTGTCATTGAATAAATTAGCGTCTTCTGTGTCGGGTGCAGGGACAAATTTGCATACGTGTGATATTTGCCAAGACAAAGGCGCAACCTCTTTTCTATCTACAAATGTATTAAATATTTTGCATTGTATTTTCTCGTCTGTAAGAAAGCCCCCTCGTCAGTTCTGAATTTTGAATATCGATAAACTCGGGCATGAGAACGAAAAATTTTAGTCCTAACGTCCAACTGGTTAAATTATGATGAGAATGAGATGACTTGGCCAAGGTTGATTTTGTCTCATCACTGCATGTATGATTATTGAATTACATGATAGAGCCGGTTTATTTTCAATTTCAATTTCGGACTATAGAATTGTGGGATATTGAAATCCTTGTTATGCAACAATCGTCGGGAATCGTGGAATGAGACAACTGATCCCTGGAAAGTGCAGAAATAATTATTTGGGTGTTACGAATTACTAGTCAGTTAATTCCTTTAGTTTATATAACGGAAGCAAATCTTGTTGTGTGACAAACACGGATACGAACGATGGTTAAACTTTTCGTTCTCACCGTTCACACATTCATTTTCTTTTTGAGAAAAATACCTGAGATTTGAGACTTCGATATATTGTTGAGACAAAAGAAATTTAGAC